CCCCAAAACCCCAAAACCCCAAAACCCCTTTAAACTTTGACAGAGTAAATTCATGAAATTAAGGTTAATTTAATTAGTATTTAATTCTTTGTTTCAAGCTAGATTTGAAACCTTATTTATCTTCATAGTGTTGAAGAATTATAACTTGATATTCTAATTTCCTGTCTATTTTTTCTTTCTTTGCCTGTGTTATCTAGGAGAGAGTTCTTTTTTCTCGAAATAATTTTTACCAAGATCATAATCTTCTATTACTAGATTCATACTCTCCATTGACAAAGGCTTAATGCACATTCTAGGGCTGAATCTCTTAGTCTTTATATGCGAGATTTGCATTTACTATACTTTTCTAGCAAGCATTTGTTAGAAAACATTTAGAGATTTATGCATCAAATTCAAGTAATTAAGCCTCTCGTTCAGGTCTCCTGATAGTCCGAGTGTATTAATTTTGGATTGATAAGCGTTTTCATCCTCTTAAATTGAATCTAAGTATTCATTATTAATCTTAGCCATTTCGGATGCTCTTGCTAATGGATTTTTCTGAATCGGTAAAGCCATTTAGAATATGTCATCTAGTACCTTAGTTTTCTACCGAATAATAATATTGAATCTAGTTATGCAAATCTAAACTAGTTGCTAAAGATGGGATACTTTTTAGTCCATTCTATTCATAGTTCTTGGAGTCGAATCCTTGCTTCTTTGTTTTTCAAATCTCTCCTTAGTTATAACATCATACATCATTAGTACTCTTTCGAGAACTCTAGCAATTTTGTTCTTTTAAAATCTTACTTCATGTAGCTGTTTTATTAGTTATGCTTTTTTCTAATCTCTGCTAGAGGCTTCAAATTTAACTATAGTCTTATTGGTATCTTTATCATTGTATATTAATGGAATAAGATCAATATTACTCTCTTTTACACTGATGTTGTCAGAACTTTGCAAAAGTGAGTTAGATTTTGGCTTAAATGTGTTAAATTTAGAAAATCCTTTTGAAGATTTTACAGAGGATAAGTTTTCATCCTAAGTTGCTTATTCAAGAGAAGTTAAATATCTATTCTTCTAGATTTGAGGTACTACACTGAAATTTCTGTTAATTTAATTTTTGCTATGTAAAATCTAAACTCTTTTTGACTTTCTTTCAAATTTGTTGAACACTTCCATAACTAAATCTCGACATTCTAGGTAAAACTTGCTGTCATCATTCATCTATTCAATCTACTTTTAGTTATCCTAAAGTAAATCATTTAATTTTTATTTCAATTCTTATAGCGCCTTTACATGAGTTGCTGCATCATTCTCAATCATTGTATTCTTAGATTTCTTTTCATTGAATTGATTTCTTTGCGAAAAATGAACATTGGTTGTTCCCTATCTAAAAAACACCTACTAATCATGTTTCTAAGTAGAATTCATAGAAGGGTTATTTTCGTTACTATTCATAGTTTATCTCATTGGTGTTATTTACTTGCTAGGAGTACTTGCAAATGACTTAATCCCAATTTAATCAGTAAAGTTTCTAACATGTCCTCCACTATTTTTCCCTGGCAATGGGGGCTTTGTATCCAGAAATTTCTTTTGTGCTTTACTCTCATATTTTTTATATTGCAGGTAATTTAAAACAGTTTAATTGTAAAGGTCTAAGACATTTGATTTTGGAGGATCTATAGACTGTACTACATTAACTGAAGGAATGATGTCTTATTAGTATATTTCATGATATGAAAGATTAACTGGACTTTTTATCATGACTTAGTAACTCATATGCTACTAACTTTATGGTCTTATTATTTGATAAGAAGGTGCTCTAATTTTCACATATGGTGTACCAATAGGTCTATTATTTGCTTTGAACTCCCTAAGATTGTCTGGAATGTGTATTGATGATATTGTAGTTTTATCCATTGATGATTTCTGTTTTCTAATTCCTTTTTGTAAGTCTTTGAAAGATTACATCGCCTTGAAACTTTTTTAATCATCTTCAAAAGATTGCTATCGTATATTTGAGTATTTGAATTTAACATTTTTCTTGTTGTTTTTCTTTAGGTTTTTGGAGCTAGTCTTACTACCTGCACTACTTCCTTTACTTACCTTACTTCTTTAAGTGTCAGTATGCCCATCATTTATTAAATCTGTCAATGAAGTTATTCTTTTTTTATCTAATCCAGGAGATTGTTATTCCTTGTACTTAATTTTGAATTTGGGACTCAAACTATTAAGATCTATAGCAGCACTATTAAATCTCTTGTGGCTTTGATTGCCAATAAAGTTTGTCTGAATTTTAGATAATCCCCGACTTTTATCGATTTATGATGCTCATAAAATATCCGAAGGTTGTTTTACCTTTTTCCTATAATTTTCTCTCAAAGACTTCTTAGGTATACTAGATCTATTAGAATCAGTTATGTCTGAATGATCTGTGATTCTGCTTTCACCATCACTTATTTTATCTAGTTGTTCATCTAAATTTTCATTTAAGTCGTCCAATATTTAGACCTTTACACTTTATGTCCCGAGAATTTTATCTCTCCTTGATAGTTTCTTTTTTAAGGGTGGTATATCAGTGACCTTAAGTATCCTTTAAACCCTCAATAGTTATGAATCGATAATTGCTCTTTTTTCAGATTCAGATCTATGAAGAAAAGATAAGTTTGGGGACTCATAACTTTTTTATTTTAGGTTTATTATTTTGGCTATTAGATTATTTTCTGAAAATTAAGGATCAGTTTGTTTTTAGTTTACATCTCCCAATGGTCGATAGTATTTTTTGAGTTTGTTTTTTTGTCTTCTCACTTTTAAGTTTGAAATTTATTCGCTCTATTATTGCTACATTTTCTAATTATTTTACTGTTTGAGTTATTCTTTCTCTAATTCATTTTTTTAACTCTTTTGTAAATTAGAGTTATCAAAAGTGTATTTTTTCTCAGATTAATCAAGTTACTTCTTAAAGTTAATGCTATTAATTGACTCTAACTGCTATTTATCATGAATATCTGAAGTTGATCCCCTCTCTCTGCTCACAAGTTTACTCATGGTCAGTTATAATCTTATTTTATCCATTAACCTCTTTATTTTTCTAATATTTTCTATTTAAAATTTCTTCATTAAGCATCATATCAAATTTCCATCAAATTCATTCATGGGGTTTTGGGGTTTTGGGGT